CGGCGGCAAGACCCTCGAGTTCCTGATACGCTGGAAGGGATACGACCCCACTGAGGACAGGTGGGTTGCAGAAGCTGATATGGGCAACACACGCTATGCTCTCAAGGACTATCTTGTCAAGCAGGGTGGTTCTCATGCCACCCAGCTTTGAGGGGGGGACGTGTGAGAGTACGACGGCTTATGCTGGCTTTGCTAGCTTGCCTAGACTTTATTATGCTATTACTAGCTTGGGTTTTATTTATCATGCATAGATATGCTTGATTTCCTAGGTTAGGTGCATTCCTATATTTTATTATAGTTATAGCACCGAACCAGGTTACATGTACCGAGCTCAAGCCTATTCGGTTTCCACCGAATTGCTTTCTACTGAGTTCGGGAAGGATCTGTTCGGGACGCTTCGCGACCCTCAGAACATTCGCGTAACACCTGGGTTACCTGCCTTGTGTCGAGACTATATATAGCCTCGTGTTGTACCCAGGTGAATCAATCAATTACAATTCTCTTTTCTGAGCTCGATCCTAGATCCTCACACGCGGCGTGGCGGTGGGCGGCGCGCAAGCAGGGCGCGCGGCGAGGCGGCGAGCAGCGCGTGGGCAAGGCAGTGCGCGCGGCGGCGAGCAGCACGCGGGCAGGGCAGGGCGCGCAGCAGCAAGTAGCGCGCGGGAGGGCAGGGCGTGCGCAGCAGCGCGACGCAGGGCAGGTCAGGGCGGGGCGACGCTAACAGGGCGGCGCGACTCGTGGGGTAGCTCGGTTTGGTGGGCCCTAAAAAATCGGTCCTAGGCTAGGACCTGCTCTGAAACCATGTCAAGATGGATGAACTAGCAGCAAGATGGGTACAAGTAGGAAACCCTAAATGGGTTGTACCCCATATGGGCTACCCCACTACAGCCTGCACAATAAGCAGCATATAAGTTTGACAAGGTGAACTAGCCACCACGGTCGGGGTACAAACGAAGCACAGACTGGGTGCGCTGGGTGCGAATGGTCATTTTCCACGGGAGGAGAACGTCAGGCACGTCGGCCTTTCCCAATAAGGGAAATACCGTGGTGTAGGGGGATCTCAAAGTAGGAACACAACGAAATATGTGAACTAGGGAAACAAGGGATGCAAATAACAACCCTAAAAGTGTTGTACTTCCTAGAGTGCTACTCACTATAGCCTAAGAACCTATAATATTATTTGACACACCCCCATAGGCTAAGTGAAGGGCATCAAAGCAAGCAGGGTGAACAAACGGTCACAAGACAAGTCAACGCAAGAAGCAAAGCAAGCTCAGGGTGGATCTCAAGGACACCACACAAATTTCGAGTACAAGCAAGCGGCCACAAGGCTAGTTCAAGAGTTCACTATGGTATACATAGCAAAGCACAACAAGCAGAGCAAATAGCAAGTCTACAGCAACCGAGGGCCTACCTCAACAAGCCCCAACTGCACACAGAACCTGTGGTGGTCACCAGGCGCCAAGGCCTTGGTGAAGACGTCGGCAGTGTTGGCCTCTGAGGCCACAAAGTCCACGCGTGCCTGGCCGCGTCGCTGCAACCCTCGTAGGAGGAAGTACCTCACGTCAATATGCTTAACTCTGCTCTCCAGTCGAGGCTCTCGACACAGGAGGATCATGGCCTTGTTGTCAGCGTACAAGGTCAGTGCAGAGTGAGGCCGCTCACAAAGGTCGGTGAGCAAGAAGGTCAACCAGCGAAGCTCCTGTGCCGCCATGGCACCAGCGTAGATCTCTACCTCTGCACTAGACGAAGCCACAGACGACGACCGTGTAGACCTCCACGACACAGCACCAGCACCCAGAATGAAGCAGTAACCCTGAGTCGAGCGCTGAGTCTCCACGTCGTCAGCGTAGGAAGAGTCGCAGTGACCGGTCAATACAACTGGCTGTGTCCCTCCAAGCACAAGTCCCATGCCTGATGTAGTCGCCAGGTACTTCGCCACCCTCACACCAGCTGTCCAGTGGACAGGACGGTGTCTCCCAGTCGCAACAAAGCGATAGAGGACGCTGAGGGGAAAGGCGAGGTCCGGCCGAGTACAAGTCATGAGGTACATGAGGCAGCCCACAAGCTCTGCGTAGGGGCCACTAGACTCAAAGGGCTCATCGGGAAAAGGGCCAATGGGTCGGTGGTCAACCGCAAGAGGAGTGGGCTATGTGGTGGAGAACTAAAACCCGAACCGTCGAAGGACCTGGTGCACCATGTGTAACTGAGTCAGTGTGATGGTGCGAGCGGCTCTGTCCCTGATTATCTGCAGCCCAAGGTAGCGCTGTCGTTCACCGAGGTCAATGCACTTGTGTCTCTTTTGAAGTTCGGATTGCACCTCAGTCAGAGCTTCCCTGTCTGCTATAGCAAAGACCAAGTCGTCAACGTACACTAGTGTAAAGAAAGGAGTGGAACCAGTAAGAACAAACAGTGACGGGTCGGCAGAGGAAGGACGAAGCCCAAGGTCACGAAGCGTGGAGCGAAGAGTGTCGTGCCACTCACGGGGCGACTGGCGAAGACCGTAGACTGGCCGCTCCAGGCTCCACTGGGTCCCAGGTGGGAAAATGTCAGTGAAGCCAGGAGGACGGCGCAGCCAGATCTCCTCGTGTAGACGGCCCTGGAGAAACGCAGTGGAGAAGTCAAGGGAGTGCAGCTCGTAGTCTCACTGTGTTGCTACGTGCAGTAAAACCCGAAGAGTAGTCATCTTCAGGGTTGGGGCGAAGGTCTGGAAGAAGTCAACTCCCTCACGCTGACTGAAACCCCTAGCCACGTAGCGCGCCTTGAACACAGGCGGTGAACCAGGCGGCCGCTTTACCTTGAAGAGCCACATGTCATCGACAATGTTCGCCCTGGGAGGGGGAACTGCGTCGACGTACGTGCATGTGGATCTCCAAGACGCTAGCTCTGATACCATCTCAAAGTAGGAACACAACGGAATATGTGAACTAAGGAAACAGGGGATACAAATAGCAACCCTAAAAGTATTGTACTCTCTAGAGTGCTACTCACTGTAGCCTAAGAACCTATAATAACATTTGACAAGGGAGTAGTCGTCAAGAATGACTAGGGAGGACCGTTCCCGGCGTGGCCCAGGGACGGGGGCATGGTACCAGATATCCATGTGCAAGGTCTGAAGAGGCACAGTGGTAGGAGGAAGCAATGAGTGAGGGGCGGCACGCTGCCTGCCGTCGGTGCAAGGGGGAAGGGAACACATCGTCGCAGACGAGGGGGGGAGAGTGGCGAGCGACGACGTGACCATGACGGGGGCCGCTAAGGGGGGGGAGGGGGGCATGACGGAGGTCACTAAAGGGGGGCTCGATAAGTGGGGCCATGACAGGAGTCGCTAGGTGGGGGTCTTTAAAGGGGAGACGTGAAGGCATGGAGTAGCTAGAGCTACAAAATTCATATAAAAAAAAAACAGAACAATATTGGATAGTATAGTATTGTTAATTGTATTTTTGTTGCTGGAAATAGGTGGGGAGGGAGTTAGCATGAGAAAAGCACAGGTTCATGATTCTCTACCGAATTGCAAATGTATACAGTACTACATCTGAAAGTAGGATGAATGTAAGGTGTACATTCTTTATCTCAAGCTCTATTCTCTGGGCCAATGGTTTGGCAGGCGTACAGGCACCCTCGTCGTCGTCACCTATTTGCTCAAATGGCGGGAACGGTGCACCACACAGGGGTTGCCGCGGACGCAACACAACACACAACGGTGCACTGCTTTTCCCTGGTAGTCAGGAGGGCTGGCTAGGTCCTTGTTGCTGCTTCAAGCACAGATACTAGATACTAGACTATTAGGCAGCTACAGTAATGCTGCCACGGATCGCAGCTACGTAACTTGGACCCCCTCCTGCGTCACGCGCCCAATTTCGTTGTGTTGAGATGTTCCTTAATATCTCGCGTCGCTGTGGGTGACGTCTGCTCGCTGTTTAGGAGAGTTCGTTGGAGCGGTCAAGGGATCGAGGCGCTTTAGGGTTTGTTGCAGACGAAAGTCGTGGCGTCGTTGCCGTCCGTCGTTGTTTTTTTCCGGCGATCCGACAAAGCTTGTTAGGTTTCGCTTGCTGTATCAATAGGATTGCCTTCTTACTGGAGCTGTTTTAATGCGGCCACGAGAACCGTCTGATTCTTTCACATCAGCCGTCGGATCGACGCGTACGCGCTGCTGATGCCAGCGCTGATCGCTGCGAGGCCCATGGACGATCTGATGACGCAAGCTAGGGTACGTGATGACGTCAGCTGGGGTACGCGATCCAGCAGATGGCTATGACGACTGGTGATGCAGTGTGAGGTTTCTTGGCTGGTCATACAAAGACCCATGATTACCTGCAATACAGTAGAGCGAAGCGGCTAGATTGTTCCATTATTTGCAAAACCGGCTGTGTGATGCCTTCGCGTGAACCCGGCTCGTTCGTATTAATGGCGTCTGGTGCGCGTCCGGCTTATTTGTTTTTTTAGAGCGTCGTGCTTTTTGCGCGTGACATATGTTCCGTCTCTATGCTCCGCTGTAAGCAGCACGATTTGCGAAACATGGCTGGTGGTAACCTTTGAGTGATAAGATATCCACGAATTTCTCGTACGCGCTTCGTGCTTCTTGTGCATTCTCGCGGAATCGCATCGATGTCGAAGGAGCATGGTCTGGTCGCAATGGCTGTCGCGTCGTGGCTACAGCATCATGGCATCGTGGCTGTAGCATCATGATGGTAGCATCATGGCATCATGGCTGTAGCATCATGATGGTAGCATCATGGCATCATGGCTGTAGCATCATGATGGTAGCATAGTGACCGTGGTAGCATCGTGGCTTCATTCTCATTTCCCTCGCCCCAACTCTCCCTCCCTCATCCCTCCCTGCAGTCGCAGCTCGCCCCTGTACCCGACTGCAGGAGATCAAAGACGTGTTGGGCCATCTAGGCCTGTTTATTGAGGCGCCTTAAGGCCACAATAGACTTTACCAACTCTCTCCCTCTCCTCACCTCACCACAAATTGCTTTCTCCCTCATCCCTCCCTGCAGTCGCAGCTCTTGTGTTTCCGACTGAAGGAGCTTAAAGACGTGTTGGGTCATCTAGGTCTCTCAAAATCCGGCAAAAAGCAGGTCAGTTGCGCGCACACTGGCAGCTCTATAGCGCGGATAGTGGATGTCTAAAGCGCGAATAGTTGAGGTCTTAGTGCAGTCAAAGCGGGCAGTTTGAGCAGCAACAGCTGCCGGTTAGGGAGGGGATGGGAAGGAAGTCGAAGGCGGTGTATGGTCTGCTATGCATGTACGGGGATGTGCTGTCGCTTCCTGACTTAAAACACCTCCTGGCAGTGACTGGTGTTGGGCTCAAGGTGGCAGCATTGGCTGCAGTGACAGCAGTGACAGCAGTAACAGCAGTAACATCAGACACAGCAGTGACATCAGACACAGCAGTGACATCAGACACAGCAGTGACATCAGTGGCTGCAGTGACATCAGCAGCAGTGTAAGGAGAAAAGTTGACTAGTCAGTCTGCTTAGGGGAGTGTTGTATGGTCCTGACATAACTCACCTTCTTGCAGTGTGACCTGCTAAGGTGGCAAGCAGCACAGCAGTGTAAGAAGAAACTTGAGTAGGCAGTGGCTGCTGCGGGAATGCTGTTGGGTCCTGACATAACTCACCTTCTTGCAGTGTGACCTGCTAGTGGATCAAAAGGCAGCAAGCAAGCAGCACAGCATTGTAAGAAGCACGAGAAGGATGAGTTTTGTATGCGTTTTGCGTTTTGCAGCATTCGGTCCTGGCTGTGCTGTGCTGTGCTGTGCTGTGCTGTGCTGTGGCTGGCTGACATGATTCACCTTCTGGCAGTGCTTGGCGACCTGAACCTGAAGGGTGCTGCAGGGTGCACTGCAACAAGCCTTTCAGTAGCAACGTGTTCAGAATCAGTAGCTGCGTTTCAGAAGCATGTCTCACATGCCTCACATGCCACACATGCCTCACATACCTAACATACCTCACAACATGCCTCACATGCCTTACATGACTCGCATACCCCACATGCATCACATGCCTCACATGCCGCACATGCCGCACATGCATCACATGCCTCACATGCCTCTCATGCCTCGCATGGCTCACGACATGCCCCACATGCCCCACGACATGCCCCACATGCCCCACAACACATGGCACGGGGAACAGGTGCTAGTGGGTCGAATCGAAGCGCTCTTATCATCACCATCTGTCCCCTTCAACGGCCGTAAGTGCTCCTCCAGTGAACGACTTCAGAGGCGCCTCAAAAACCTCCTCCTTCCAACGGACGCAAGTTAGTTTCCTCCTTTAACAGCCATGATTGCATCTCCTTATCTCAACACAAGTGTATTGGTCTCGCCTTCCACTGCAAGAAACCCTGTCACGTGGCCGGCCCTAGCCGCCGTCTCATGCATTCCTTCTATTGGTCGGTCCTCCAATCGCGTACATGTCATCTCATGAAGTCTATCTCCCTCCGCTCATCTGCCCCTCTCCTTTCTCATCATCCTCTCTTATCTCCCTCTACTCCCAGACCCATGCTCATCATCATGCCGGCTCTAACGTGCATCCGTCTCCCTCCGCTCATCCCACCGGGTTTTTCCCTCCCCGCATCTTTCCTTCCTTCCCCTTCCCCCATTCCATCCTTCCTGTCGTACCCCGTGTCCTCCTTGCAGGCGTGCCCACCATCACTCCCACGCAAGTAGCCGAGTTCATTCAAGACACGTACAGGTAGAGCGGCGTAGAGTGGTGTGTGCGGGAGGTGCGTGTGAGGGGGAGGTGCGCGTGAGTGAGTGTGAGAGTAGCCCACCATCACTCCCACGCAAGTAGCCGAGTTCATTCAAGACACGAAGGTAGAGTGGTGCGTGAGGGAGGTGCGTGTGAAAGGGGGGTGCGTGTGTGGGGGAGGGCGGGGGAGGTGTGATGGGGGGTGTGTGTGATGGGGGTGCACGTGTGAGGCAGGTGTGTGTTGACAGGCGTGCGTTCCTGCTTATTCGCCCCACCCACCCCCTTCCGTTCTTATCTTATCCCCTTCAGGTCACAGCGTGACCCCCTTTAAGTGCATTGGAAAGGCTCTCTCTCCTCTCCTATAGATTCGCCCTCCCTCTTCAACTTCCGTTCCGATCGTTTCTTCCTTCGTTCCTCCCTCCCATCCTTTCACCCCACCTTAGGTTGCTGTGAAGCACGAGGCAGGGGGACGCGCCACACCACACCATTCACAGCCTCACCTCCCCAGTGCAGCCACAGAGGAGGCGAGAGGAGATGACTTGTTTTGTTCCCATACTCGTCACGCACGTCACCCATCCTCCCATGGCATCCCATGGTCAGTCACTACTTTGCAACCCTTTGCAGGTCGCTGCGAAGCTCTGGGGCGCAGGGGGACACGCCAATCACCTCGCCAGTGTAGCCTCAGACGAGGGCAAAGGAGATGCCTTGCGTTCCTCCCGTCATTCTGTCCCCGTCCATCCCCCATCCTCCCATGCTCAATGCTTCGGAACCCCTCGCAGGTCGCTGCGAAGCACGGGGCAGCAGGTTGACACGCCAGTCACCTCGCCAGTGCAGCCGCAGCGGATGGGAAAGGAGATGCCTTGCGTTCCTCTCATTATTCTGTCCCCGTCCATCCCCCATCCTCCCACGGCCGATTCTTGGGAACCCCTCTTGGTTGCTGCGAAGCACTGGGCAGCAGGTGGACACGCCCGTCGCCTCCCTGGTGCAGCCGCAGTGAAGGGGAAAGTGGAGGCCTTGCGTTCCTCCCATCATTCTGTCCCCGTCCATCCCCCATCCTCCCATGGTCAATGCTTTGGAACCCCTCTTGGTCGCTGCGAAGCACTGGGCAGCAGGTGGACATGCCCGTCGCCTCGCGGTGCAGCCACAGTGAAGATGAGAAGAGATGCCTTGTTCCGTTCTCATATTGTCCGCTATTCCCTCATGTTCAATGCCTTGGAACCTTATTGCAGGTCGCTGCGAAGCACGGGGCAGCAGGTTGACACGCCCGTCGCCTCCCCAGTGCAGCCTCAGAGGAGGCGCGAGGAGAGGGCGGATAGGGTTGGGGGGGAGGGCGCGGAGAGGGGGGACGGAGGAGCAGAGGCGGCTGCGAGGGCGGAGACAGCTGCTAGGGTAGAGACAGTTGGTAGGGCTGAGGTGGGAGCAGGGGAAGACGGGAACATGGCTCCTGATGGAAGCTTCGCTTCCCCGCAGCAGCAGCAGCAGCAACACCACCACCACCACCAGCAGCAGCACCAGCACCAGCAACAGCAGCAGCAGCAGCAAAGTAGACATGGGCATGGGCATGGGTCGTCTAGGGGAGTAAAGACAGAACCAGGGGGGGGAGGGAGGTCTAGTAAGAGGGCATTGGGAAGGGGTGATGTGTATGGGCAGCAGCAGCAGCAGCAGGTGGAGGCGATCCGGTGTGTTTGCCTACGGAACTTTGACAACGGGAAGACTATGATCCAGGTGGGTGGTGGTGCGTCAGTGTGGGGTTATAGAGAGACGTATGAAGGGGGGGGGGGGTGTACTGGCAGCAGCAGCAGGTGGAGGCGATCCGATGTGTTTGCCTACGGAACTTTGACAACGGAAAGACTATGATCCAGGTGGGCAGACTGGACCGTGGATGTTCTGTTGTGGTGTGGTAAGTTGCTGTTTAGAGTAGAGGCGTCCAGGTAGGTGGACTATAATTCAGGTAGGTGGTGTGTTTGTGCCTATGACGCCCCTGCCCCTTCCTACCGGCACCTTTCTCCCTTCCCCCCCTCCGCCTGCTTCCTCTTTCCCACCAACCCAGTGCGAGGGCCAGAGCTGTGGCGCAGCATGTGAAATGCGTATTTTGCCAGAGAACCTGCCTCTGACCCCCCTCTCCCCTCTCCCCCCCTTTCCCCCCATCTCCACCCCATTTTTCCCCTTCCTCCTTATCCATATCCTTTCCACCTTCCTCCTCACCCAGTGCGAGGGCCAGGGCTGCGGGGTGTGGCAGCATGTGAAGCGCATCATTCTGCCAGAGAACCCACCTCTCAAGTCACACCCCCCCTCTCTTTCTTCCCTTCCTCCCGTGCCCATTCTGTTCACCCAGTGCGAGGGCCAGGGCTGCGGGGTGTGGCAGCATGTGAAATGCGTCATTCTGCCAGAGAACCCGCCTCTCACGGGAGATTCCTCGGCAGCGCCCCAGCCCGACCCCCCCCTCCCGGAACACCACTACTGCGAGCTCTGCCGCATGGCCCGAGGAGATCCGTAAGTGTGACGTTCAGCTGACATGTGGCCACTAGGCTAGGAACACCTCAAAAGGCATTCAGAAATCGATCAGTGTCACAGCCCCATCCCACCACCCTCCCCTCCCGGAACACCACTACTGCGAGCTCTGCCGCATGGCCCGGGGCGACCCGTAAGTATTTTGACTCTCAGCTGGCGTGTGAATGAATTGCATCATTCATTCTGCCAGAGAACCCTCCTCTCACGGGAGATGCCCAGCGCCCAGCGCCTCAGCCTGACTCTCCCCTCCTGGAACACCACTACTGCGAGCTCTGCAGAATGGCCCGGGGCAACCCGTAAGTGTGACTTTTGGGTGGCATGTGGATTCTAGAATTGCCTCAGAACGGCGATCAGAGATTGTTACATGGCATAGCCCCACCACGCCCCTCGGTGTAACATCACTACCGCGAGCTCTGCAGAATGGCCCAAGGGGACCAGTAAGTGTGACTCTTAACTAAAGTGCAGGGGAGGGAGACATGTACACTTCATACTTAGCGAAGGGGTGCAGGGAGGGAGAGAAACTTGTATGTCCGATTCTTAGCTGAACTGCAGGAGAGGGGGAAGATTAAGTTCGGCTCATAGCTAAATAGCTGCAGGAGATGGAGACCCGCCACACACTTAGCTAAACTGCAGGGGAGGAACTCCCATACCTCCTTGTCCCTGCCATGCCATGTCATGCGTACATTTGTGTTTGCTTGCAGTGCCAATCCACGCCTTTTGGGGTGGAGCTCTTGGATGCAAGCTAGGTGGTGGTGATTGGTGGTGGCTAAACCACCATGGTCGCTCCCTTGATTGTGATTGGTCCATTTAACCACGTGGTTGGATTGGACCTCCCAAACCTCCAACCACCACTTTGCCCGTAACCACCTCCTCTTTGAACCCTCTCCTCCATCCCATCGCAAGTATGCTATCCTTTTCCTGATGAAATCAACAACTTTTCTATTTCTAACATCCTTACCCGCCGCCTTTGGTTTCGTTCTTGTTTTCTTCTCCATCCCATTCCCCTCCTCCCCCCTCTTCTGCTGCTGGTCTACCCGATGTCAGATTTTCTGTCCCTGTGGCCAATCCGATGCCGCCAACTGCGCTCATTCGCCTGCCCGGAGACAAGTGAGTGTCTTGGTTGAAGGTGCTGCCCGGAGACAAGTGAGTGTCTTGGTTGAAGGTGCCCGGAGAGTGAATGTGCTATGAAGAGGAGATGGTGTGAGGTTCGAGGTTAAACCTTGATGAGATGGTGTGAGGTTCGAGGTTAAACCTTGATGAGATGCTGTGAGGTTCGAGGTTAAACCTTCATTAGATGCTGTGCGGTTCGAGGTTAAACCTTCATGAGATGCTGTGCGGTTTTTTGACTCCCTAACTGTGATGCGCTGTGACCACTGTTGGGAGAAACAGCCTGTGGTCACACGCTGTGATACAAAACATTGGGAGGGGAGCCAGTGGTGTCATATTGTGTGGTCGGCAACTCGCGCCCTCCTTGACTCCCTCCCCGTCACCACACCTCCCTTCCGTCCTCCGCCTCCCCTCCCCTCCCCTCCATCCATCCCCCTGTTCCTGAACCTCACATTCTCCCCAGCCGCAGCAACCAGGTGCTGCAGCGACGAGAGCACACTTTCACTCTCACCCCGCATGACCTCTCGCTGTGCCCTGCAGAGTGGTTCCCTTATCTTACCCCCTTTCTTGCCTCCCACGTTCCACCTTCTCCCCCACAGCAACCAGGTGCTGCAGCGCCTGGAGCACAATTTTACTCTCACCCCGCACGATCTCTCGTTGCTCAGGCGGCCACACCACTACCTTCAGGTCAGCCCGATTGCTGGAACCATTTTTTCAAATGCTCTTTGCAGTAGTTCCAAAGTTTCCTCGTCGATCCTATTTTTGCCCAGCAATGTTTGCTCTTGTTTCAGTTTCCCTTCGTCCTCTTTTGTTACAAATGCCCAAATTGCTTCTGTGCTTGCTTTCACATGCCCCACATTGGTGCGATGCAACTATTATGAATGAACCTAACCCTCGCTCTGTCGGATCCCACCAGGTGTGGTGTGTGCTATTAAACGACAAGACTGCCAGCCGCGTGCACTGGCCTGCTTACCTTTGAGGCGCCTCAAACGTTGCCCAAACTGCTGTTATCTCCTCCCATGCCCCACTTGTGGGTCCTGTTTTGTATGAATGTTTTGGATCCCACCAGGTGTGGTGTGTGCTATTAAACGACAAGACCGCCAACCGCATGCACTGGCCCGCATACCCACAGCTGCAAATCAACAGTAAGATCAACCTTAATGTCTTTTATATTCTCATCTCTCTTCAACGCAGGTTAAGAGCAAGCAGGCAGCATATATGAAGCACGAGCAACTGTTGACTGTTGGGCCCCAGATCACCAGCACCAGTTCATAAGTTTTGAGTCTCAAACCTCAATTTTTGAGTCTCAAACCTCAAATTTTGAGTCTCCTAAGGGAGTGTTCGGTACACAAGTTCAGCAAACCAGTTTCTTCATATTTTTTGTAATCCACCTACTGATAGGGCCGGGTTTCTCATACCACCTCAATGCTGATCTTGCCTTGACGTGGCTTACACATGCCTCTTTGCTCTCTCTCTCTCCTCTCCCCCTCCTCTCCCCCTCCTCCCCTTCCTCCCGCTCCTCTCCTCACTTGCAGGTCGCAGCATGCGAGTAATCAACCGGACTGCGCAGCTGCTGGGAGCCAATGGGCGCGACAACAATGGGGGCCACTGGGCTCTGACTGACTGCCTCTCCTCCTCTCGTGCTGCCTCGTTTGCTCTCTCCCTCCCCTTCGCTTTCCTCCCTCCATTCTCCTCCACTTCCCTCTCCTCACACGCAGGTTGCAGTGTGTGGCTCACCAACAGGCCTGGGCAGCAGCTGCTGGGAGCCAATGGCCGCAACGATGGCGATCTGACTGCCTCTCTCTCATGCCGTTCCTCCTGCTCCCTCCCTTCCCTCCCTCCCCTGCCTTCCCTCCGCTCCCCCCCTCTCTCCTCACGCGCAGGTCGCAGTGTGCGGGTCACCAACAGGCCCGGGCAGCAGCTGCTGGGAGCCAATGGCCGCGATGACGGGCCCTCGGTATGCCCTCACCCACCCCTGCCTTGCTTGACGTCTTATGCATGCCTCACTGCTTTGCCTCATGCCTCACTGCTTTGCCTCATGCCTCACTGCTTTGCCTCATGCCTCACTGCTTTGCCTCATGCCTCACTGCTTTGCCTCATGCCTCACTGCTCTGCCTCATGCCTCACTGCTCTGCCTTGCCTTGTATGCACTCGTGCTGCCTTGCCTGCTCCTGTGTTGCCTTACCTGCTCATGCTGCCTCGGTTCCGCACATGTTAGGTCCGGTACGTCCTTTGCTCATGCTGCCTTCGCACTAATGCTGCTTCCTGCCTCTGTTTAGCCTCTCCTCCACAGATAGCGGAGGCGTGCCATGCAGGGGCCAACCATGTGGTTATGGCTGCAATTGAAAACCCCCCTTGCCACGGCTTGTACCCTCCGTCCTCCATGCCCTCTCTCCGCTGCCCGTTCTCCTCCATTCCCCGCAATTTGCACAGACAGCAGAGCGGAGGCATGCCATGCCGGGGGGGACAGTGACGAGGCTCTGGCCGCCATTGACAACACACCATCTACCCTCTCTCTCCCTGCTCCGCTCCCCCCCCCCCCCTCCCGGCCCCCTTCCCCTCCAAGTAGCGGAGGCGTGCCATGCGGGAGACAACCACGTGGCTATGGCTGCCGTTGACAGGCGCTCCTTTCTCTTCCCTACCCTCTGACCCGTTTCTCACCCCCTGTCTTCTCCTCCACCTTCTCTCCCTTCCGCCACAGATAGCGGAGGCGTGCCATGCGGGAGACAACCACGTGGCTATGGCTGCCATTGATAAGCGCCCCTTCTGCATTGGTGTGCGCATCATCCGCAAACGATCCTTTGACGAGGTGCGTGGGGTGAAATGCGGTGATGTGTGCTGGTGTGCGGTGGTGTGCGGTGACGTGTGGTGAAGAGGCAGGGAGTTCGGTTGTCATCAACAGCTGTGGTCAGTCCAATTTGCATCGGCGTGCGCATCATCCGCAAGCGATCGTTCGATGAGGTGTGCGCGTGCGGTACCATGCGGTGATGTGCGGTGGCATGTGGCGAAGTGTGGTGTGGTGTCCGGTGACATGCGGTGATGTGCGGTGATGTGTGGTGAAGAGGCAGGGGTTGGGTTGTTATCAACAGCTGTGGCCCATTCGTATGGTGATGATGGCCACGATTCCTCCAGTGGACGTGGGGGAGTCACTCGAGTCTGCTCGTGCTCGAGTGAAGCACTTTGGTCAACACCCTCACACCCCATCCCATCCTCACTCCCCTCGTCCCCCGTCCCCTTTCCCCTCACCTTCACGCCGCCAGGTCATGTCGATGATTCACTGGAGTCTGCTCTCGCTCGAAACAAGCGCTTTGTTTCTACACCCTCACACCTGCCCTCACTCCGCTCATCCCTCATACGTTGCAGGGATTATTTTAGAATTATCAACTCTTTCTACACACAGCCTCACACCTGTCCTCACTCCGCTCATCCCTCATACCATACCACCAGGTCATGTCCCATGACTCCTCCTGTGGACGTGGGGGAGTCACTCGAGTCCACTCTCACTCGAGTAAAACGCTTTGCTTCAACACACCAAAGCAGCAGCGCCCTCACCCTACCCCCCACAACCCCCATACCACCAGGTCATGGCCATGATTCCTCCCGTGGACGTGGGGGAGTCACTCGAGTCATTCAAATCCCATCTCTCTTGAGTAAAGCTCTGCGTGGAAGGAGCACCCTCACTCACCTTATTATCCTATGCTCTCACCCTCCCCCAATCCGCCTGGTCATGGTCACAATTCCTCCTGTGGACGTGGGAGAGTCCCTCGAATCCGCTCTCGCTCGAGTTAAAGCTCGCGTCTCATATTTCTGCCATCCAACCAAGTGTTAAACGGTTGGAATCCGGTAACAGCAGAGTTTGTCGCGAAGCACACCAAAGCAAGGGGTGGTTGGGAAAGTTGGCTGTCGCACACTTCCCCGTGCACACCAAGTGTTTACAACTCCCAAAAATATGAGACTCTGAACTGAACGTTGACAGAACCCAGGACCAAACCTGTCACCCTTGCCTCGGTTTCCCCCCAAACCAACCCACCCTGGTTTGTTTTGGCCTCGATCTTTTGGAGTTCGCTGTGTTTTTTTCGCCCACTCGTCAAATATTTCGACTTTCGTTACCCAATCAAACCCTGGCAAACCCAACCAAGTGTTAAACGGTTGGAAATTAGAGACGCGAGCTTTAAGCATTGCGTGGGGGGAGCTCCCTTACTGACCTTACCCGATTCCCTCCCTCAACCCCTATGCCAGGTCATGGCCATGATTCCGCCACTGGACGTGGGAGAGTCACTCGAATCCGCCCTCGCTCAAGTGGAGTGCCCTGCTACAACACATCCAATCAACAACTCCCGCACCCTCTCCCCCTCACCCCCCATGCTAGGTCATGGCCATGATTCCGCCACTGGACGTGGGGGAGTCACTCGAATCCGCTCTTGCTCGCGTGAAACGCTGTGTGGGGGGAGGAGGGGGCGGAGGGGGAAGTGGAAAAGGAGGGGCAGGCGGTGGTGGTGGTGGTGGTGGTGCAGATGGTGGTGGGGGTGGGGGTGGGGGTGGGGCGAAGCCTGCAGTGTCTTCGGACAGCAGTGGCAGCAGCGATCTGATTGTGATGCAGGACCATGTGACGCTCAACCTGCGCTGCCCTGTGAGTGTGCTTGTGCAAACACACACACACACACACACACACACACACACACACACACACACACACACACACACACATCCTGCTCTTCCACGGACGAGTGGTTTTGCAGCAAGGCTGGACCGTCTTCTCATCCCAACTGAATGCAGAGTTACATCTGCCTCCCTCCCTCCCTCGCTACTTCAGATGACTGCCTGTTATCACACCTGCCTCCCCTCGTCCCCTGTTGATTTTGGAAGCTGGTTGATTATTTTGGTCAATTGCTCACACCCTCCTCCCCCTCTTTCCCAGATGAGCGGCTCGCGCATTCGCGAGGCGGGGCGGTTCAGGGAGTGTGCGCACATGGGGTGCTTCGACCTGCACACATTCATTGAGATTAACCAACGCGCTCGCAAGGTACGTTGAGAGTTGAGGTGCGCAGGTGTGATTTTTCTGAAGGGCGAGTGTCAATGCGATTCAAAAGTGTGATTCACTCATCATTGACCCCATCAATTCTCAACGCTCACTCCACTCCTCCCCTCCGCCCTGCGCCCTTTGTCCCCCCCCCTTCCCTCCTCTGCTCCCCCCAGTGGAAGTGCCCTGTGTGCATGAAGCTCTACGCGCTCGACTCGCTCAACTCGCTCATAATCAATCCCTTCGACCCTCAACCATAACGCACTCCACTCCTTTCCCCTATGCCCCATACCCCCCTGCCCCCTTCGCCCTCTCCTCTGCCCTCCCCTGCCCCAACCCCCAGTGGCAGTGCCCTGTGTGCATGAAGCTCTATGAGCTCGACTCACTCATTAGCATCCCTTCAATGCTCACCCATAACTTACTCCGCTCCTCCCCTCCTCTTCTCCACATTCTGCCCTGCTCCTCCCCCCAGTAGCAGTGCCCCGTGTGCATGAAGCTCTACGCGCTCGACTCACTCATCATCGACCCCATCGACCCTCAACAGTAGCTCACTCCACTCCTCCCCTGCGCCCTGCGCCCTTTGTCCCCCCCACTTCCCTCCTTTGTTCCCCCCAGTGGCAATGTCCGGTGTGCATGAAGCTCTACGCGCTCGACTCACTCATCATCGATCCCTTCTTCCACCGCGTCTGTGAGGAGGTGCGTTCCCTTTAAGCAAACACTTATACATTGCGTACATCACTTGCTGCCACGTACATCAGTTGCTGCTGTGCCACGTGCCAGAGACGATTGGACGGCTGAAGAAGCTCGAGTGGTTGGTGATTTGTTATTGTCCAAAGTATCAAAGATTCCAGAGTCGAAGCTTTGTTATCTTTGGACAATCACAGAACACCAACCACTCCAGCTTCTTCAGCCGTCCAATCGTCTCTGGGAGGTGCGTTCCCTCAAGCAAACATCTATACACCACGTACATGAGTTGCTACCACGTACATCAGTTGCTGCCACGCACATCAGTTGCTGCCACGCACATCAGTTGCTGCCACGTACACCAGTTGCTGCCACGCACATCAGTTGATGCCACCCACATTAGTTGCTGCCACATACATCACTTGCTGCTGTGACAGGGACGATTGGATGGCTGAAGAAGCTCGAGCGGTTGGTGTTTTGTTACTATCCAAAAGTATCGAAGCTTCCAGAGTCGTTTTCTAATCTGCCCAGCCTACGGCATTGCTCACTTGGTAACTGCTTCGAGTCGTCATCTCTTCCATAAAACTTTGGAACATTTTTCTCCCTACAATATCTTAGTCTTCGTAATCTGTAGAATCTTCGCACCCTCTCTGCTTTGTTCCAAGACTTGTCTCGACTAGAGTGGCTGGAATTGAGTTACCTCGCAATACCTCACTGCCTGCCACTTCAGTCGAGGCAAGTCTTGGAACGAAGCAGGGAGGCTGCAAAGATTCAGCAGATTACTAAGGCATGTTGTAGGGAGAGAGATTTTTTCTTAAGTTATATGGAAGAGATGACGACTCGAAGCAGTTACCAAGCGAGCAACGCTGTGGGCCGGGCAGATTAGGAAACGACTTTGGAAGCTTTAATACCTTTGGACAATCACACAGGTCACCAACCACTCTAGCTTTTTCAGACGTCCAATCGTCCCTGGAAGGTGCGTTCCTTTAAGCAAACACCTATACACCACGTACATCAGTTGCTGCCGTGCCACGTGCCAGGGACGATTGGACGGCTGATGAAGCTCGAGTGGTTGGTGATCTGTGATTGCCCAAAGGTATCGAAGCTTTCAAAGTTGTTTCTAAATCTACCCAGCCTACGGCGGCGTTGCTCACTTGGTAACTGTTTTGAGTCGTTATCTCTTCCATATAACTTATAAAAATAACCTCCCTACAATATCTCCGCCTTAGTAATCTGCAGAATCTTCGCAGCCTCCCTGCTTCGTTCCAAGACTTGTCTCGACTAAAGTGGCTGGAAGTGAGGTATTGTGAGCAGCTGGGTTAGCTGCCATCCTTCATCCAAAATATGTCGACAATCATCTCTGGGAGTTGCATTCCCTCAAGCAAACACTTATACACCACGTACATCAGTTGCTGCCGTGCCACGTGCATGGCACCTTAATGGGGCCCACGTTAGCTCTACGCGCTCGACTCACTCGTCATAGACCCCTTCCTCCACCGTGCCAGCTGTGTCACCCTTCCCACCCCCTCTTGACCAAAGAGGTGCGTTCCCCTCCCAACCTCCTCGCGTGTCCCACCCCACTCGCTCATCATCAACCCCTTCTTCCACCGTGCCTGCCAAGAGGTGCGTCCGCCCTCCCTCTTCCCACGCTCCCCCGCTCCCCTCCTCACTAAAGAGGTGCGTTTCCTGCTCGCCTCCTCTCAGGGGGCATGTTTGCAAGGGCAAGAAGTGTACAAGCATTCCCTCGGCTCTTCAAGAAAATATGTACACACAGTCATCCCCTCCCCTCCCCTCTCTCTACCCGCCCCCTTCCCCCTCTCCCCTTCCCCCCCAGATGGCCCCACACGCACGGCAGTGACGTCACTGACATTCAACTCAGGGCGGACAGCATGTGGCCACCCAAGGAGCTCATTCTCACCTTTCACCTCTCACCCGCCTCCGCTCCACCGCCCTCCTTCTCCCCTCGTTCCCCCCATCCCCTCCCTCTCCCCCTTCCCCCACATGGCCCAGTACGATAGTGACGTCACTGGCATTCAACTTCTGAGTCGACTCAAAAGTCATTCAACTCAGGGCGGACGCCAAATTGTTGAGTGCTACCCCGCCTACTCTGCCCCTCCCCCCTGTCCCCCTTTTCTCCCCTTCACTCCCCCCCACATGGCTCAGTATGACAGTGACGTCACTGGCATTTAACTCAGGGCGGATGGCACATGCCGCCTCCAAGGGCTCTCGCCCGCCTCCCATCCGACTCCCCTCCTCCACGCACCTCCTTCTCCCCCCCAGATGGCTCAGTATGACAGTGACGTCACTGACATTCAACTGAGGGGAGACGGCACGTGGCGACCCAAGCTAGAATCTCTTCACACCTCCTCCAAAGCAGGCAAGTCAGCCAAGTCAACCAAGTCAATCATGCCTTATGAGTCGACTCAAAAGTCACGCTACCCAAGCTAGAAACTCTTCACTCCGTGTCCAAAGCAGGCAAGTCAAGAAAGTCAACGAATGCTTTCTCTGCCACAGCTACAGCAGTAGTTTTTTTTTTTTTTTTTTTTTGGATTCTCAAAATGCATCTCGTCTCATGTGGACTCCCATTTCTTCGTTTTACCAAAGCAGGCAAGTCAGCCAAGTCAACGCCTGCTGCCGCTGCCGCCGCTGCTGCTGCTCTCATCTGGCGAGACGTGCATTTGCCTGCAGGGCAGGTGAAGAGGGAGATGGGCGTGGGGGCTGAGGTGGGAGTGGGAGTGGGAGTGAATGGGAATGGGTTGGTCGAAGGCCAGGGGGATACGGCAGATGATGTGACGAGTGGGACACGGTCAGCTGCAGGAGGGGCGTGGGATTTGCTGTCTGGCGAGTCGCGGGCAAAGCGGGGAAGGTGGATGGGGAAGGACGAGACGGGGGGGAGTGAGGTGGATTGCAGGCAGGCTTTGCAGCAACAGCAGCAGCAGTCGGGGCAGTTTCAGCAGCAGCAGTGTTTTCAGCAGCAGCAGTTGCCGTTTCAGCAGCAGCCAGTGGTAATTGAGTTGCTCGGTGATGGTGCTGATGGTGGTGCTGGTGCAACTGGTGCTGCTGGTGCTGCTGGTACATTTGCTGCTCCCATTGGTGTGCACACTCCCAAGAGACAGCGCACGAGATGGCCAGTAGGAAGAGGAGGCGTAGAAACTGGAGCAGACACAGGCAGAGCAGGAGGAGGAGGAGGGGGCAACGGGCCTACTCTAGCAGGAGATGACGTTGGTTTGTCTCTTGGGTTTGGTGGGAATACAACGAGAGGAGGTACAGGAGAGCAACGGGGATTTAACGCTCGCGGCAATGGAGACTTATCGGCAGCAGCAGTGCTAGCGGGATGGCCTGGGGCGTCAGGAGCAGTGCAAGCAGGCATGGGCGCAGCTGGAGCAACAGCAGCTGTAGCAGCAGGAGCGGCAGGAGCGGCTGTAGCAGGGGGGAATGGAACAGATGCTGGGGGGACGTCCAGTGTGGGAGCAGCACAGACGGCAGAGTCAGGGCATGAAGACAGGTCGTCTCTCGGCAATCGAAACAGTGGGCGCGGGAGAGAGGCGAGCCAGGGGAGAGTGGGAGGAGTGGGGGGGAGGGGAGTGGGAGGAAGTGGGGGAGTGGGGGGAAGTGGGGGTGTGGGGGCAGGGGCAGGAGTGCGTGGAGGGAGTGGGGCGAACTGGTTCGGGGATCGGGGAGGGGAGGATAACCCGATCGATTTGAGTGATAGTGAGGGGGAGGAGGAGTTACCAGCAACGAATGCTGTTTTGGGAAGAGCAGCACTGAATAGCTCTGCTCAGCAGCAGGAGTGGCAGCAGCAGCAGGAGCGGCAGCAGGGGCAGGGGCAGAGGCAGCAGCAGGGGCAACGAGCAGATGTGAACGCATTGCTAGATGTGTGGAGGGACGACCAAAGGGTCGAGCCAGCGAGCACATTCGACCGCACGTATGGTGCAGGTGAGAGAGCAGACACGTATGGCGCTGCTGGCGCTGCTGCTGGTGCTGGTAGTGGGCCTTCGAGAGTCAACACCCCCACTCTTGATTTCATCACGGATTTTCTCCTTGAGGCAGATGGTGTCGGGGCAGGAGGAGCAGGAGGTAAAGGAATGGGAGGAGGAGGAGGAGGAGGAGGTGGAGCGGGGGAGAGTGAAAGGGGGTTCGGGAGTGAAGCAGCAGCAGAAGCAGCACGGGGAGGGAGGGATGGTGGGAGAGGGGAGGGAGGGAGAGGCAGGGAGGAGAGTGGGGCGTTTCAGCTGAACCTGGGTCTGGCGTCAGAAGGGGTGGGGGAGGGGCGCACTGGAGGGGCATCCGCAGCGCCAGCAGGAGTGGCAGCGGGAGGGGTGAGTGGCGAGTTTGCCTCGCCTCCCCCACCGGACGTGCAATGGGTCACACCGTCTCTCTCAGCTGCTGCCACTGCTCATTTGGCCAGGGGAAGAGCTGCAGCAGGAGCAGCAGCAGGAGCAGCAAGGCCGAGTGGGTCCCAGCACAAGCAGCACTCCCATTCTCGGCCGTCTGCCCGCCCGCCTGCTTCTCTAAGAGCAGCTTCGTTACAGTCCCCTCCTTCCAGTGCTCGAACGCCGTCACGGCTGCAATCGCCCTCAGGCATACAGTCCCCCTCGGCTGTTCAATCATCCTCGCAGCTTCAGTCCCCCTCCGGCTTCCGCTCTCCCCCTCTCACAAGCCAGCAGCAGCACCAGCAACAACAAGAGCAGCAACCCCAGCAGCAACCGCAGCCGCAGCAGCAACAGCAGCAGCAGGGAGCATCAAATCCGTTTGCTCGTTTCTACACAAGTGCATCCCAGCCAACCGTCTCTGATCCTAGAGGCATATTAGGGAGCTATAGTGGGTATCAGCAGCAGCCGCAGCAGCAGCCTCAGCAGTACGCCCATGTGGATTACCAGCAGCAAGTGCCCCCTCAACCGGACTACCACCAACATCAAAGCTACACCTACGCTAATGATTTCTATAACCAGTCGTACCCAACGCATCAGAACCAATACAGCACGCTTCATCATTATCAGGCACCAGCCCAGCTGTATAACTACGGACAGGAACAGGAGGGAGTGCCGCCAGTGCAGCCGATGCCGTATGTTACACCTGATGCTACTGTGTCACAGCCTGGTGGGATGAACCAGTGGGAATCCTATGCACCTCATTAACGACTACGATCAGAGTACGGTAATTGGGCATCTGCTTTACTGCCACACACTGGATTTTATGTTGTTTACTTCATTTGATTTCTAGGCGGCAGCCTGTTGTTATAGTTGCATTCCTACATTAAAGGGTTGTCTCATGTACAAAGAGCTTTTTGATGCCGTAAGAAGCTGAGGGGTTTTCTTGGCTAATGACTAATGTACAAGTGGCCTCACACCTGAAAATTCCTTAATAATTAAAGACGTTAGTGACGACAAGAAAGAGTTCAGTAATCATCGTCATCGCTGCCATCGTCACCGCCCCGTCTCACGGTAGCGGCTGCCTGCTTGAAAGGTCTACCACCAGACAGCTTCTCATCAGCGAGAGCTCCACCAAGGACTAGCCGGGTCTCAAGAACTTCTTTTTCATTTTTTATTTATTTTTTTTTAATCATGCTTCGTTACATTTCAACAAGCATACAGACATGCATAAACCCTTCCTAGAAGTGTCTTACTACCTCAAACATCAAAAGACCATCGCCAAGCTCGTCAAATCCAACCTGCGTTTGGCGGGAAAATAATGCATTATGATCTAATGCAACTAATTCGTTTCAAAAAAAGAGGAAAGCACGAATAGCAGGTCACTTACAACGTATCCTGTGACTTTGCCTTTGTGAACCAAGGCCAGCGTCGGGAGCATGAATATGCGCAGTTTCTCCGCCAGGTACGGGCTCTTCTCCGCGTTGATCTTCAGGAACTTGGCTTCTAAATGCTCTCTCGCCAAGATCTCAAGGTGCTTGTCCATGATCTGTGAGAATCGAAACGGGAATATGAGACAAACTCAGCGAGATGTTCATCTCAGCATCACCTCTCGAGCACACACTGTAGAAACGAACCTGGCATGGCCGGCTGCTTCGGAAGAAGTGACAGACGACGTTGTCCGAGGTTTTGACTTCACTGAAAAACTCCTTTTCTGAGGAAAGCTCTTTAAAGTGTCCGTGTCCGGCTGCTAGCCACTCCTGCTTCTTCTGTGCCTGTTGCTTGAGCTCCTTTAGCCGTCGCTCTCGTAGTTGTTGAATGTCATCCGTTTCTATCTTCTCAATCTCTGCATCGATGACGGACTCGAGGGCCTGACCGAAACGAAGCAACTTTTCGTCTACGACAGTGGATGCCATGCTGAGTGGAACCTCAACCTAGAAAATGTCTGCTAAGGACTACCTAAGGCAACGAAACGATATGAAAGAGGATGAACTGTCAGTACGGGTGGTCTCTGCTTTTACGTCCGATCGAAAGGTATGTAGTAAGGTACAAGCTAGACTTACTGCACCGATATTTACGGATCTCCAGGTGACCGTGCCAGGAGAAGGTTGACAACCTCGAGACCAGTGTTCACTTTGAGTGGTTCTAGAGCGGTTAGATGGGGTTTGAACTGCACTCCCCACGATGTCTTGAATGACGATCCGTCTCGGAAGAATTGCCACAGATGGAATCCGTGTTTTCGCAATTGGCGAGAATCTGGGGTTGAGGGGGCTGTCAGTGTGTCAGATGCCACGTCTGACCCAGGGCGCTGAGACGCGTTACACAGAAATGTTTAGAAAACAAGCAAGGTCGTTCGCACTATTTGCTTTGTAAAACCACAATTTGCTAAAGAAAATGGAAAGACACGTATTTCAAAAACATGTGCAGTAGCGTGCAGCGAAAATGCTGTTGGTGGAGCGGGAGTTCATGAGGCTTGCGAAACTGGCGGAGGTGTGAGTTTCCGTCGCGCAGGTGCGAGTGTTGTGGGCGAAGCATTATTTGCCCGCACTAGCAATCTGGCGAGTCTGTTGTTCTCAAGGTAGCAACATGGAAAGTTGCCCGCCTACGATGCTTGCGCCGTTGTTTCGCTTTCGCATCTGTAACTCGCCCAAGCCCCAATGCTCTCGCCACAGGTACAATACCGAAACTTTGGATGAGGTGGCGGTGGCAGGAGATGTTCAGGTGGGATGGGATGGGAAAAAGCTAGGCAGCGCGTATCACGGCGCATGCCCAACCAGTGAGGTGCCGCCCCATTCTCCTGAATCCCGACCCGACCCCCGTCGTTTCGACGTCCCCACCACAACTGATAAAAACGAAAGGGAAAGAAGAGCTCCAGCAGGGCTTTCATTCCGCAGACTACGTTAATCAATTCCAGTTCGTTCAGGAAGGGTTTCCAAGATTCCCATTTCGCAAGCGGCATAGTAGAACATCCTCCCAGCAACCGCTCTCGATCCAAGCCTTTCCTCATCCATGGGGTGTTCCAAATATATTCTCCTACTCGCGCTCTCTCTAATTGTATCCCTCATGCTCGCGCCGCTCTGCCGCGCGGATGCGATCGCCACTGAAGAAGACGACGAAGCCTACATTTCCGCCGCGTCCGACGCGCCTGTTGTGCCGAGCTCCGACCCGAACCCGCCGGCGGCAAGCGTCGAACGACACTGTAGCAAGTCCACCTGCGATAAGAAATACAACAAATGCGTTATGGACTATCGTAAGTGCAAGCGGGAGAACACGAACGGCGACAAGGGCTTGAAGGAGTGCGTGCGGGCGTTCCAGAAGTGCAAGCACACGGTGACCAAGTGCAGGTCCAAGTGTGAATAGGCCTGGAGCGAGAGCAGATACTATATTGGTAACAAAGTATTAATTAGGTTGTGGTGGAAATGATTGCACTTCGGTAACGGCGCAGATGAATCACGGTGATGAGGGCAGAGCGGAAATAACGTGGAAAGGGTGAGGTGGGTGGGACAGTGGGAACGCCGCGGATGCCATGGAGTAAGGCGTTTTCACTTGCCTTGGAATTACGGTACCGGTATGCCGTATTTTCCTAGGTTTAGGACCCTCTTGGTAAGAAAGTCCCATCCCACGGGTCCTATTTCTGGGGGATAGTTAATGGCGTACTAGTTGAGGACCCACCTTTTACTTAATTTTATCCGCAAAGCCCATGTCTGCTAGGACTACCACAGGTAGCGAAACGAAAGGGACGAGGATGAACTGTCAGTGAGTGGTATTTGCCTTTGAAAGAAACCGTCTCCGTCTAAGCAATGCCACAGAATGTACTTGGCGAGTTAGAGGAAGAGCCTAGGATCAATCTGACGGGCTCGGAGCAAGGATTCCGTAGCACTTGAGATCACAGAAATCGCCCAAGAGATGAGAGAGCAATAGCTGTTTATATAAAGATGGGTACAAGTGACGAATTGAAGTTAACTCTCTGGAATTTGCTCTCTGGTTTTATAGCTAAAACATGCAAGCACATTTGTAACATCGAACCGCGCGCGACTCGCCGGAAATTCGGACTCAGGATCGCGTCCAATTTCCGCGACGTCCGCGTTCACAATTTCAGACTTTGCCGGGTTCGTTTCTTCACGCCGACAATCGTGTGTTACAAGGAACAATAGCGAGTGTAGCGAAATGTTCGTAACATTCGCTTGCACTCTCGCTATTTTCGTGCATGCATGTGGGGCTGCCAAGTGTCGCCCCCACAAATGTTCGGACCCAACTGGGGGAAGTTCGGTTGCGTGGCGACGCGGACAATCCGCCGTCACCCCAACCTTCCAAGAACGAACCCTCCCTTGGTCCGAGTCAAGGAAGGTCTTCGCGTGGGGGGCAATCCCGTCCCCCACACTACCAACACTCCCCCTTGCACCCCACGCACACCTAAGCATGCAAGCCTACCCTAGCACAACATGCATGAAGAGCATCTCTAGGCAATGGCTTGGTGAGGAAGTCTGCGGGTTGCGAGTTGGTATTGATGTAACGAAGCTCGACTTCGTTGTCTTCAACGAGCTTGCGAATGAAGTGATGACGGATTTGAATGTGCTTGGTCCTTCCGTGGAGGACCGAGTTCTTGGCTAGGCCAATGGCGGCTTGGTTGTCCACGTAGATGGGAGTGGGGCCTTCTTGTTGGTGCCCAAGCTCGGCAAGAAGGCGACTTAGCCAAACCGCTTCCGTACCACCACGAGTGAGCGCCACGTATTCCGCTTCGGTGGAGCTAAGTGCAATCAAGTTTTGGCGCTTGCTTTGCCAACTTATTGCACCTCCCACGAGGGTGAAGACGTAGCCCGAGGTGCTTTGACGAGTTGATGGATCTCCCGCCCAATCCGCATTCGTGTAGCCTTGTAGTACCACAGGTCCCTTCTCATAGTGCAACCCCATTCGAGTGGTACCCTTGATGTAGCGAAGAAGGCGATGTGACGCTCGCACATGCTCGACCATGGGGTTGGAGACGACACGTCCAAGCACTCCAACGGGAAAGGAGAGGTCGGGTCGCGTGCTCACCGCGGCATACATGCACGACCCAACGACCGAGTGGAAGGCCTTGGCGCTCTCGGGATCCATGGGGTTCTCATCGCTCACGGCCAATGGATGAAACCCCGCTTCCATGGGTGTCGGTGTGGGCTTGCTCTCGATCATGCCGAAGCGATCCACCACACTCTCCAAGTACTTGTGTTGGTGGAGAGCAAGGGTCTTGTTCCCTCGATCACGATCGATGTGCATCCCTAGGTAGTGGGAGACGGCGCCGAGGTCACGCATGGAGAATTCGGCGGCAAGCTTCGTCTTCACGTCCGCTACAAGGGTCTTGGAATCCGACACGAGGAGAAGGTCGTCGACGTAGAGGAGAAGAACGAGTTTCTTCTCATCCTTGTTGAGCATGTAGAGCGCGTGGTCACACTCACTCCGCACGAACCCCAATGAGAGCAAATGCTCATCAATCCTCGTGTACCACGCACGAGGGCTTTGCTTGAGGCCGTAGATCGTACGCTTGAGCTTGCACACGCGGTCGGAGTCGTCGTCGAACCCGGGAGGTTGCTTCATGTACACCTCCTCCTTGAGACGACCGTAGAGAAACGCCGTCTTCACGTCGAGTTGTTCCACCTCCAAGTCGAGTGCTCCCGCCAACGCCAAGAGGGTGCGCAATGTAGCGGACTTGGCGACGGGAGCGAACGTTTCGTTGTAGTGAAGACCCTCCTTTTGCGTGTAGCCTTGCGCCACCAACCGCGCCTTGTACCGCTCCACTTCTCCATTGGGGCCAAGCTTCTTCTTGAAGACCCAACGAGGTAGGCGCCGGGAGGCATGGAGACAAGCTCGTAGACGTCGTTCGCCATGAGCGAGTCGTACTCCCCTTGAAGCGCACGTTCCCATTCCGCCGCTTCCGCCGAGCTCATGGCGCCTTGGTAGGTGGACGGGGTGTCGATGTATGCCTCAAGACACATAGCATCTCCCCCTCCCTCATCGTCCTCCGCCACAAGAGAATAGCCGTCATACTTGGAGTTGGGATGAGGGTTCCTCCGAGTGCGAGTGGATGCGAGGGTGGGAGTGATAGTGGGAGAAGGAGACGAAGGGTCACTTTCCTTGGCATTTCCTTCATCCCCACTCACTCCAACCGTACCCGATCCATTCTCCCCCTCACTCGTACTAGGAGGAGAACCCGTAGGAGCTTCATCCGCCTCATCCGCTATATCCAAGGGTGGAGGGACAATGATGACCGAGGGCACGTGCATGGACTTGGACGGGAAGGTGTCTTCGTAGAACATCACGTCGCGCAACACCACGAGTTTCCCGTGCTCCAAGTCCCACACACGCCACGCCTTGTGATCCACGCTTGGACCCAAGTACATCGCCACCCGCGCCTTCGCCTCAAGCTTGGTCCGTGTGGCGTCGGGTGCATGATAGTAGCACGTGCACCCAAAAGTGCGAAGGTCGGTGACGTCCGGCTTCGTACCGCTCCAAGCCTCAAGAGGCGTCTTGTTGGGCAACGCCTTGGTCACGCACCGGTTGCGAATCCAAGTTGCCAACGTAACCGCCTCACCCCACCAAAGCTTCTCCGCGTGAGCATGGGAGAGGAGACTCCGTGCCGACTCCATGAGCGTGCGGTTCAAGCGTTCGGCCGCACCGTTTTGTTGAGGCGCGTACGGCGTCGATAACTCATGCGCGGTTCCACGCCCTTTCAACCAATCGCCGAGCTCCCGAGCGGTGTATTCGCCACCTCCATCCGAGCGAAAGCGCTTCACCTTGAAGCCGCTTTCCGTCTCCACATCCGCTACCCATTGCTTGATGGCGGTTGACGTGGAGTCCTTGTTCTTGAGAAGCCGAATCCAACACATCCGCGTCGCGTCGTCGAGGAGCGTGAGGACGTAACGCGCACCGCCCTTCGACGCGG